ATTTTTTTTTAATTTTTATTATTTAAAAACACTGTTACTTGTAGCATATCACAGTAGCCTAAAGCTAATTTCATATCAAGTAAGAAAATTCAACCGGAGAAAGGCTTAGTGCATTGGTATAGGAAACACGGAGTTTAAAAACATATTGATTTTTCCAAATAAACTGCCGCCATTTCGAAATGGAAAAATTTAATTCATTTCTGTTTTTGCCAAAATGTTTGTCTATTAAATACCTTTTCTGTTGTCAGAAATTAAAAGTGAGAAAAATAAAATAGGTGAATTGTATAAACAGCCAATAAATATTAAAACATAAAAACCTTTATCAAAGTATTATAAACAATAAAAGGGATGACTTTTTTAAATGTATGACAACAGCTAATTTGCAACCAAAAGGTGAGTGAGCGTAGCGAACGAACATCAACCTGGAGGCAAGTAAGCGTAGCAAACGAGCTAACCTGAAAACAAGTGAGCGCAGCGAACGATTTCCAACCTGAAGGTGAGTGAGCGTAGCGAACGAACTTCAACCAGGACGTGATTGAGCCATGCGAATACTATGAAGTTAAGCGGGGCAAAGCCCGCGGGTACAGCTAGTGTTGATTATATCGATCTGTTATGTACATCTTGAGTATTTCCATAATCTTTGAGTCGAATCTTTTACAGTCAGCAGAAATTATGACTGTTATACGTTTTAAAATAACGCCTGTAATACTTAGTAATTGCTCGAATTTGAGCAAGAGGGACACTACAGTCGGGGCCATGAAATCAGGCGGGTGGGTATAAATGCGCTGTTGCCACTCATGGCACCCGCGATGTGACGGAAGGTCGAGAATCGCTTACCGCTGCGCACGAACTGGCAACACTGAGCGTCCAGCGTTGCCTAGTCCATGCGTCGAGACCCTACGCGCGAGAATAAAAACGTTTAATATAAACTCATCACAGATCTCCATTACATTATACTCTTTAGACACCTTGTGTTTTAGTCTTGCAATTAACTGTTAGTAATAACGCTGCTTTGAATGAGAATTTTAAGCGCAAGATAACAAAGCTAACAAGGGTCTAGAAATCTACAAGAAAATTATGAATATGAATGTTAAAATAATTATGAAAGTATACAAAAGTGTTGGTAAATAACCCCACTATATACCATAAAATTTTGAAGCTCGTAAGTGTAATAGATTTGTTGTAATAATTTTACAAGTTTGAGATTTACTCTAACAATGAGAAGATAAATATTTTTCACTATTTTTTTTTAATAAATTATAAATAGTCCCGCCGCAGCAGACCTGCATACTAAGTGAATTTCCTTCTACTTGGCTTGAATTTCACAAAATTATTCCCTAAGATAGTTATATTTATTTGATATTTAAAAATGTATATTATAACATTCATATTTATTATTTTCGAGTAGATTTTGTAAACTCTTGTTAACTTGTTCCAAATACTGTATTCCGTTGCAAGCACCGTTGTGACTATCAATTGTTTGTATGAACGAACAATATTGTGTCTTTACGACATTTACATTGACAGTGTTTAATAATAAGTTTATGTTAACGTTTTGTGTTCGCATGACGGGCTGGGTTCGTGGGTTTCGCGCCACAAAAGGCTTTTAAAGGCTCGCTTTCTCCCTGGCGAGGAAAAATATTACAACTGAATCTCAGTTTCTTTGTTCACCCCTGAACCGGTTCCTGTGATTGACACCTGCCACCCCTCACCCCCCCACCACTCAAGGCACTCATCAGAACTTCAGTAAGGGTGGAGCTTTCAATGTGAAAGGTGGGTTATTGAAATATTGTTGTATTGTGAGTTATTGCGAGTTATTGTGAGTTTTATATTGAACATGGAAAGTGACAGTGATCCAGATCAACCTGGGTGTTCTACCACATGGACTGAACTTGTACCTGTAGAGTTAGTGAGTACCAAAACACCAAGTTTACCTATTCAACCTGGGCCTTCTACTTCATTAACTATATGTGAAAGATTACCGGAACAACATCACAAAACACCAATAAAACGAAGATTGCAGCGACTATACAAAAAGGACCTGGGCAGTCAGACAAAATCAATGGTAGTCAATGTTCTAAATTATGTCCGTAAATTGGAGGATCCGAAATTCCGCGAAACAGTCGATTTCAAGAAAAGTCAAGAGTTGACGTCAAAAATGTGTGATATTAGCCTACGATCCGTTCAAAGATGTAATCAAGAAGCGAAATTATCTCCGCCTGACAAATTAATTTTCAAATCTCCCAGGAAAAAATACAAGAGGGGAAAACCTGCAAGTATGTTAAATGACTTCGACGCTGATGTTGCTCGCCGAACAGTGCTGGAATTTTTCGACCACGGACAATTTCCCACAGCCGATAAAGTTCGAGTAAAACTACAAGAAAAAATTGAATACAAAGGAAGTGTTCGTTCAACACGAAGGCTACTCCGTAATTTAGGCTTTAAGTACAAGAAAAGCAACGATGGAAGGAAGTTTTTATTGGAGAGACAGGACATTGCGGTTGCTCGAGCAAGATTTTTAAGATCGATGCATGCACTAAAGCAAGAGGAGAGCTCTCTACAGAGAGTCTATCTGGATGAAACATGGGTTAACCAGTCTCACTCTAAAAAGTATATTTGGCACCATTCAGATAAAGGAGGTGGTTTAAAAGTACCTACGGGAAAAGGTGGCAGGTTGATCATTTGTCATGCTGGTGGCGCAAATGGTTTTATACCCGAGTGCAAATGGGTATTTCGATCCAAAAAAAATGATACAGACTACCACTCAGAAATGAATAGTAAGTCCTTCCACATATGGTTCACGGAACACTTATTGCCAAGCTTAGAAGAGCCGTCAGTTATCATAATGGATAACGCACCTTACCACTCGACTTTGCTGGAAAAGATCCCAAACATGTCATGGAAGAAAAGTGAAATACAGGACTGGTTGAAGATCAAAAATATCCCATTTTCCCCCTGTGAATTAAAAGCAGAACTACTGTTGAAAGTAACTCCATTCAAGAAAGAAAAGCGGTAAGAGCTCGACGAGATTGCTTTACAGTCCGGCCATCAAGTTTTATGACTACCAGCTTATCACTGCCAATACAATCCGATCGAGTTGATTTGGGCTCAAGTCAAACGGGAGGTTGCTGAAAAGAACACAACATTCAAAATCAGTGATGTTTAGAAACTTACCTCCGACGCCATCGACAAGGTAACAGCAAGTGACTGGGAGAAGTGTGTTCGGCATGCCGAGAAACTCCAAGAGGAAGACTGGACCAAGGAAATAGTAAGGGATGACACCATGGAGCCATTTATCATAAACTTAAACGACGAAACTACAGACAGTGAGAGAAGCAGCAGTGACCCTGATGATATAGGAAGTGATTGAAAATAAGAAATAAAGTTAGGCAATAAATATTAATTTTAACAAGCAATAAATATTAATTTTAACATTCTTGGTGTTAATATTATTCCACCCAATTTTAAGGTATATAAGGTAGTATGATTTTGGAATATGATGCAGGTTGGACCACACATAATAACAATTATTACAACAAAAAAGTTTTTTTTACAACTGTGTTATACAATAAACAAAAAATTGTTTTAAATCAGCCAGTCCACAACCATTACAACACGCAGGTTAGGTAGTAAATCTATGTTTTAGCAAAAACTTACTAATTAAGATTTTAATAAAATAAATGAATCTTACAAAGTAGTTTAATGAGATCAGTGTGCACTTTAAAGCATTCGCCGCCGTATGTGGCGGGCGTCTGCCGGTGCCGATATGGCAACGTCGCAAAATCACTCACCCGCCTGATTTCATGTCCCCGACTATAGTTTATATTTATATACCAATTCCGTACGAAGGACGGGTACTCTGCTAGTACTAGGGGGCCTGGGGGCGGAGCCCCCAGCGAGCCAAAGGCGAGTATATATGTAAAATCATATCAATATAGTGTGGTATTTCCTTTTTTTTCTTCACAAGTTGGATTTAGTTGGTTATGGTGTTAATTTCCATTATTCCAAACGCCTTGAATTTTTCTCAAAAATAAAATTATTTGTTTGTAATATTTAACATATGTATTGTAACATGTCTTCTTGTGTGTAGTTAGCTATACATATTGTTTTCATTCCCTGACGATGCTATAATTTTAGCTATTTTATGACATTGCCAATAAATTGTAAAAATTCAAAAGACAGTAAACACATTTAATTTCTTTTCATTTCAACAATGTACTCTGGGATCACAATCATAATATGCACATATATTGTATAATTGACATTGTTATTTTTATTTGATGATTTGTCATATCAGAGGAGAAGGAGTGCAAATATCTCCCGGGCCCATAGAGTATCACATGCAAATAACCAATGTTGTGTGCTAGGGAAACAATTAATTACTAAAATAAAATTATGGTAACACTTTTGAATTTTTACTGAAAGGTATGACAATGGTGTGCGTAAGCATTATTTCCAATAATAGTGCATTAAAGAAGCCTCTCCTTTGTGACCATAGAATATCTTCATCCAGGTCTGATTTAGTTAATGTACATGATGTGCCGCAAGCGATTTGAAGGATGGTTGGGGACGCCAGCAATTAAGATAACAGATTGTAAATTGTGCGCCAATGGAATCCACCCAACTATTGGTGATCACTCATACCTCATCACTATCACTGCCTACATGTTGCTACTTTATCTTTCCTTTGTTTTTCTTTTACTTTGTCATTTACTAATGTTTGTATAGTTACAAAAATCCTGTCCTGTTCCCGTTATGAAAATCAAGAATAAAATTAAAACCCTGGCCCACCTCAAAGTAATCCCTGGTATTTATTTATGTCTGATACCAAGGTTTATCATAATTGACATTGTTATTTTTATTTGATGATTTGTCATATCAGAGGAGAGTGAGTGCAATTATCTCACTCTTAATTTCACTCTCTTAATTTAAGAACTTAAATTAATACTTTTAAATACTTTTCAATGGACAAGTTCTACTATCGTGAGGGTTATTCCTACCTGGTTTTGTAGTTGTTCTCGTTCTTCACATACTTGATTTTCCAGTTCCTCATAAATTCGTCTTATCTGAAATAATTTATAAACTTTGAATACGGAAATTGATACACAAAAGTATTAATTCGGCATGTCATGTATTACATTTATTGAAAAAAATGGAATATGGTAAGCAGTTAAATAGCACTGTCACAAATTTAATAATTTTCATGATCTGGGTACGGTACTTTTTATACCGTGGCTAATATCTCTGTTAAGGTTATATCGTTTACACTACTTAAAGGCACGAGCTGCTACACCCGGGTGCTTTGCAAACGGAAAGAGGACGCTGAAAAGAAAAATGTGAAGTTCCTTGACCGCGAGAGACGAAGGTGATGACTTAAAGATCGAAGAAGGTATTGATTATTTTGCCACAAAAGCGGAAAAACTACGATTGGTAAAAGATGTCGCTGTTTCTGTGAGTGCTGGAGACGAAGATATCTTCAAGACCGAAAAAGATATTCATTATTTTACCGCAATCACTGAAAAAGATCATTCCTGTAACACTGTAAAAGTTCAATGCCCATTTGAACTGCTCACAGCAGGTATCTGAACCCATCATACTAGTAGATATTGCAGATCAATAGGTGTTACAGACCTCCTGTTGGTGACGGCGGTCGCGGGCTTTGAGTGTGTCCTCTAGCTGAGATATCTGTCGCAGCAGCTGGTTGAGGTCTGAGAACAGTGCTGCCAACAGCTGGTGCCATGTGTCCTCTCGTCCTACCAGACTACGCACCTCGCACATCAGCTCTCCACTCCTGCCAACCATACAAACATAAATAAACATTCTATTCCCGTGTTAAAGCATAGATAAAACCATTGACTATATGCTATATATACAGGTACTATAGGTATACTAGGTGAAACCCGTCGAAATCGACGGTTACTTTCAAGGCTTATGTTAATTCATCTAACTGCGATAAATTGGATGAAATATACATATTTTGAGCATTCAGCATTTTTAAAAAGGTAATAAGTAAAAAAAATTGCGTTAGTTGCCAAATTTGGTTAATCATTCAATGAATAAAATATTCCCCATACCGTACATCATCGGAGTTATTATTAGTATGTTATATGATATCTCTTCCTTTGGAAGAACCTTTAAATAGTATTAAAATCGTATTGGTGGATCTTTTGTAGTTAAACACTTCCGTGATTTCATCAGTGTAATATGATTTTATTTGAAAAGAAAATTTTTTTGGGAAGACATATTCTAATTTCAAAGGGAGGTATATCCGTTACAGATTAAGTTTGATTTTTCCTTCGTCACGTCACGTCAGTTCATATCGTACTTCTGTACAATGAATGAACCCTCTAGCATAGTTTTGAGAAATTGATTGTGGGGTTAATGTTAAAGCTGGAATTCCTTGACATGGGGGATATCAGTTTGTTGTCTCAGCCTTATCAATAACATAAAGTTTTCAATATAATCTCTCTACAGACTGTTAGGTGTAGTGGAATGAAGTGAAGTTGGATTTTATTCTTTAACCGTTAGGGGCCTCCTAGTTCATACGGCCTTGCGGCTTCATTGGCAACAAATAATGCAAATGGAATAGCAATGGGACATTTCCAAAAAGCAAAAATACTGTAAATTGGCTGTCATGTATATATTGACGTTTACTTATTGTTAATCAACGTCTTGTAAAGGATAATGTGATCTAGTTGAAAAGGAATATGACGTTTCTGTCATGACAGTAGCTGCTTAAATAGTATTTTCTCTTTGTAACATATTTTACAGCCAAAATATCGTGTTATTTTAAATAATGTTATCTAGGTTACATACCTTATACAGTCAAAACAGTTCTGATACAGTCACTAAAGGACGATGCGCATTTCAGAGCTTTTAAGCTCTATCTTCAGGTCCGTGGATACATTTGTCAATTCATCTTGCAGATTCGTCAAAATATTTAAACATTAAAAACACATAACACAAACACATAATTCATTACGTTTATACAGGTACTGTACATGTGCCGTATAAGGTATGTAACCTAGATAATACTTTGAATAACAGTTCAGGAGGCAAAATAATGAATAAATAATGTTACCAACCCAGTGTGCCAAAGTCCGTAATATAGGGAGGTGCAAATAATTTGTTAAGATGGGTACCATTTTAGGCAAGGTTTCTATGTTTGGATTTTATTAGACACGATAAGAGCAGATTTTTCTACATAAATATTTGATATGTGTAGAATAATATCATAAAATGTAGGCGAAAGTGGTGAAAAAGGCAGACACCAACCCACGATAGATACAATATAAGATAGTTCAATCAGAAATAATTAAAGAATTGCTGTCATAAAAGAATTTTCAACTGATTTACGTTATATTGCAAAACATGACATGGTATAAAAGAAAATCAATTTTTAAATCAGAAAATAACATTGCAGATATTTCTTTTGGACAATTCAGTAACTCCCAATAAATGTGTATTGTTTAAAATACAAATTTAAAAATTAACAGCTGTTTCATTAAAAAGTATTATCCACATGGCCAAAATGTAAACAAATCTGTGGAGGGATCTTTAAAGGCTTCTGGGGCAGAGCCCTAAGAGAATTTACTTTGTTTTTCTATTGATAACTCATCTAAAGATCAAGACCTTTCTTTGGAGACCTCTACCAAGTTTCTACCCCCAGTCGTTCTCTCAAATTAGTGGACACAAATTTTCCAATTAAATATTTAGATTCCCCCATGTTAATCTTATGGGAGAAACTCCATCTTTGATGGCCTGTGGGGCAAAGCCCGAGGATTTGTATTACTGGAATTGGTGAAAGGGGGCGTCTACACAACAAATACTTTATTTTGACACGTCGTTTGTAAAAATCCGTCCATTATTAACGGAGGAGTAGTGTTTCGTAGAAATCGCCTTCACGTATTATATATAAGGATAGTATACATATATATACTATATAGGTACCTATATAGGTAGTAGTCAATGATAAAACTTACACTCTTGGTAGATTTCTGATCCTTTGGATCAGCTGAGGAGAATTTTATCGTTAGTTCCACTATAGAGGTCGTGTTTAGTTTACAATTTGTTTCTTGTTATTTCAGTCATTTAAATCCTCGTTTAACCAAAAAAAGCTATGTAATCATAAATAATAACTCGTTTTATAGTTATATAAGCAAACAGTTAAGCAAAACTCATTAAATTAATCTTATACAGGGTGGAACGAAGTTAGTGTTAAAAAATTTTATTTGTTAAACTACTAAGTATAGGTGACAAAATGGCACCAATTTAAGTTTCCATACCCTCACAGGTAGGGAATAACAGACAATTTAAGATTTTTTCAAAATATTTGTACTTACTTACATAAAATGGCCATAAGTGCATTAAACATTGTTTTTATTCCAAATTCATTGTCATTTTCAGAATCCTCGTTAAATTTCCAATAGTAATAGTACAGATTCATTGAGATTATTCATCTGCATAAGCTCTTATTTGGCCATGGAAGTTTGAACTTGTGATTTTTTATAAAAAAGTAATAATTTTTTCAAAGTTTTTCTATACTACACTGGACTGTAGAGAGTGTCAAATATTACTAAAAACTTCTGCAGTTAATAACCTTTAAAATGATGTATAAACATCTACCGTTCCTTTGATTTGTCGTTCTCAAATTTAAGAGTTTCTCATCAAAAACACGGAACGGCTAATGTTTAATTTCCTTTAAAAAAAACATGTATCGGCTTTTATGATATGGCAGCAGCTGCTTTAAAAATCATGTTTAAATGGGTATTATTGCAATTTTCAGAATCCTTGTAAAATTCCTAATAAGAATATTGAGGAATTGTTAGGATTAACACTTTATGAACCTATGTTTTGTGATGAATTTTCATTTTGGGGGTTTTCTTCTTGTTTATTGGAATAAATTAAATATCGTTTACGGTGTTAGTTCTATGGCACATTCAACCGATGTGCGAGATTGGTTTAAAGCAAAATACACAACTTGAATGATAAGAATGATGATGATAAGTCATATGGTGGGGTTTGCTGGCATGCCAGGTCGCCAGACCTAAGTCCATTGGACTTGCTTTGTGTGTTGTAAAGTACTTGGTCTACTCATCTTTAGTGGAAGATAATCAGAAAATTAACTACTGGATAATGAATACAGATGTGCTAGTCAGAGGAACGTTGTATTTTAATGTTACTGTTGGTGCCACGTGCAAAAAACGCTTGGCTGTGTATCTGGGAAAATGGAGGAGATTTTGAAAAAAAAAAACTCAAGTAGTTGGCATCAAATAGAAGGCAACTATTAAAACGTCAAGGAAGTAAGGAACAGTTATTTAAGTTTCGAATATTGTGTGTTTTAGAATTAACTTTCAGTTTTTGTATAAATAACTAAAACTAAGTATTTTTGAGGTGTTAACAATTATTTTGGTTAAGAAATATATCTCTTGACTGAGTTATTTCCATTAACATGTGTCTAAGCACTACAATCAATTAATTGGTATACTATACTTAGGTTAGTTTTCGGTTTTCGGTGAACATATTGACAACATTGTAAAGTGTAGTATCTACATAATTTTATAGACTACTCCATTGGAAGTATTTGCTTATGCTTAGAAAAAAATCTTAAGTTAAATGTACCATGTGTAACTTAAAACAATATTCAATGTATTCAAAAAATAAAAATAAAACTAATTTAACATGTTTTCACAAAACATACGTTTATATGGATGTTAATCCTAATAGATCCTTAATATTCTTACAATAAATCTCACGAGGATTCTAAAAATTACAATAGACCCTATTCAAATATAACTGTTATTGCAGCTATTGCCATATTATTTAAGCAAATTACATGTTTTTTTTAAAAGGAAATTAAACATTAGCCGTTCCGTGTTTTTCATGAGAAACTCTTAAATTTGAGAACGACAAATCAAAGGAACGGTAGATGTTTATAGATCATTTTAAAGGTTATTAACAGCAAAAGTTTTTAGTAATATTTGACACTCTCTACAGTCCAGTGGAAAAACTATTACTTTTTTATAAAAAATCACAAGTTCAAACTTCCATGGCCAAATAAGGGCTTATACAGATGAATAATCTCAATGAATCTGTACTATTACTATTGGAAATTTAACGAGGGTTCTGAAAATGACAATGAATTTGGAATAAAAACAACGTTTAATGCACTTATGGCCATTTTATGTAAGTAAGTACAAATATTTTGAAAAAATCTTAAATTGTCTGTTATTACTGCCTGTGAGGGTATGGAAACTTAAATTGGTGCCATTTTGTCACCAATACTTAGTAGTTTAACACATAAAATTTTTTAACACTAACTTCGTTCCACCCTGTATAATACGAGTAGAAACCAAATGTTGTCAACCCTAGCTATCAGTGTCACCACAACAACTAGACTAAAAAAACGAGCTTCAAAATTTACAGGATTATTAAAAGGTTTTCTCACTGACAACACAGATTTTAGCTATACAGCATTTTATAGACTTTAAATACATTGTTAACACAGATCACAATGGATTACATTTTAGGAGAACAATAGTTGACATATGAGTGTTTTTTCTTTTATTGCCGTCTTCCAGTTGTGTAGTTTTTTACTTTTTTGTACATCTCCAAAGACAACTAAACTTACAACTCAAATGTCAAACGCTGTAAATACAAAACTACTTTTCACAGGGATGAGAAGTCTGATTGTGTTTGTTAGTCTATCAGAACTGTTAGTTAAAGTAAAGAAATGAAAATGAATATGGTTGAATTGAGCCACTGATGTATATTACTGAAATGTGTAAAATT